TATATGGTTAGGTTTTGGATTAGGGTTTGGCTTAGGGCAGGGGTCACCAAACTTGATCCTGGACCTCTGGTGTCCTGCAGAGTTTAACTCCAACTTGCCTCAACACACCTGCCTGCAAGTTTCAAGTATACCTAGTAAGACCTTGATTAGCTGGTTCAGGTGTGTTTAATTAGGGTTGGAGGAGCTAAACTCTGCAGGACGCCGGCCCTCCAGGACCGAGTCTGGTGACCCCTGGCTTAGGGTTACTTGCATGTAATTATGCATAATTTATTGTTATTATAATAGTTAGTACAAGTAACGTGTAACAAGGACACCTTAAAATAAAGTGTTACTGTCACACTACGGTGGAATGAAACGCACTAGGAAGCGTTTCATTCATCAAGGAAGATGATGAGCAATGCAAATAGTCTTTAATAAATACACACACGGGTAAATCCAGGACAGAACAGGCAGGAGACACACGTAGGGAGGTAGTAGACCGGACGACAAACAGTGAACTGAACACAACTTAAATAGGAGGTCTGATGAGGGTAATTAATGACACACACCTGAACCAAAATAACAGTAATCAGACATGAGGGAAAATTAGGTCACACAGAGCACATGGGGAAGGAAACACAACAAAAACAGTCCAGGGGTGTGACAGATCGCCCCCTCCCGGAAGGCGCGACCTTGCGCCGCAGGAACAACAAAGGGAGGGACGGAGGGGGACTTAGGAGGAAGACAAAGGAGTGGATATGGGATGGTGACGGGATGGCCAAGGGCTGGCAGGAAGGGAGGCAGACAAATACTGGAGAAGGTTTGGGCGGAGGACGGACACCCGGGAGGAGGACGACCAACAGAGTCCAGGGTGGTGACGATGGAGGGAGGAGCCATTTTGGAGGCAGAAGGGACCAGAGTGGATCAGATGGAGGGAGGAGCCAGGGAGAAGACAGGAGGGAGCAGCAGGAGCCAGACGGGACCCAGGCCACAGCCATGATGGCGGCCCACGGTGGAGCCGACGGATGGAGGAGCCATGGTGGAGGAAGGGCTGACGGCTCCAGGGGGCCGACCAACTGCGGCGGAGCAGGTGGTGGTGGAGCCCGAGGTGAAGATGGAGAGCAGAAGAGCCAGGGCGACGGGGAGGATCCGGAGGGCCAAGGAGGAGCAGATGTCTCCGGCGACCGAGGCGGAGGCGGGGCTCCGGAAGGCCTGGTGGGAGAGGGAGGCTGGGCGGGAGTTCAGGATGCTCTGGGCTCAGGAACGGTGTGTGCTGCCCACACACACCACAAGGCCACTCCCAACACCGGGAGCACCAGTGACAGGGGAGCGACCTCCGTGGTCGTTGTCCCACAGGCAGACAGTTCAGGGCAGATAGACAGTTCAGGGCAGACAGATAATTCAGGGCAGGCAGATAGTTCAGACGAAGGCTGGAGAAGAGGGGACATGTCTGCATATATATCCCAATTAAAATCCACTGAGCTCGGCTCACCCTCAGCCATGGTGCAGTGGGCGGAGCTTTCCTCCACGCTCTCACTGTCCATAGTGTTCTCCCCCGTGGCGAGCTCTGTAGCCGGGTGTCGCATGTGGTCTGACATCACAGGCTCTGGCTCCGGTGTGATCGTCAGCTCTGTCGCTCCATTATGCGATGGCTCATTGGTCGCGGCGAGCTCAGGCTCTCCGTCATCGGTGGGCTCGGGCTTTAGCTCCGCGCAGCGAGGTGATGGTGGGCTGGGCTCTGGGTCTTGTCGTATTCCGGACCGGAACAGGGATTTCAGCGTCTCATCATCAAATGAGGATGTGATGGCAAGATGAGTAAATCCCAGGGCGAATGATACCAGATCTCCCGAGCCACGACTGAGAATTTCGCCGCCCAATCCATACACGGGAAAAAAAAAACAACAACAAAAAAAACTTACAAAGCAAAACCAAAACGTGGGGAAAGAAACACAACAAAAACAGTCCAGGGGTGTGACAGTTACAAATTTCCATATTTAAATTGTAAAAATGTTAATAAATTGTAAAAAATAAATAAATACAAATTAAAAAAAAAAAATTTTTATTGTAAAAGTCTTTTTTTTTATATGGTGCAGTGGGCGGAGCTTTCCTCCACGCTCTCACTGTCCATAGTGTTCTCCCCCGTGGCGAGCTCTGTAGCCGGGTGTCGCATGTGGTCTGACATCACAGGCTCTGGCTCCGGTGTGATCGTCAGCTCTGTCGCTCCATTATGCGATGGCTCATTGGTCGCGGCGAGCTCAGGCTCTCCGTCATCGGTGGGCTCGGGCTTTAGCTCCGCGCAGCGAGGTGGTGGTGGGCTGGGCTCTGGGTCTTGTCGTATTCCGGACCGGAACAGGGATTTCAGCGTCTCATCATCAAATGAGGATGTGATGGCAAGATGAGTAAATCCCAGGGCGAATGATACCAGATCTCCCGAGCCACGACTGAGAATTTCGCCGCCCAATCCATACACGGGAAAAAAAAAACAACAACAAAAAAAACTTACAAAGCAAAACCAAAACGTGGGGAAAGAAACACAACAAAAACAGTCCAGGGGTGTGACAGTTACAAATTTCCATATTTAAATTGTAAAAATGTTAATAAATTGTAAAAAATAAATAAATACAAATTAAAAAAAAAATTTTTTTATTGTAAAAGTCTTTTTTTTATAAAAAAAAAAAGTCTTGTATTGTCACATTTTTACCATTTAAATTAGTATTTAAATGGTAAAAATGTGACAATACAAGACTTTTTAGGACTATAGTTACAGTTAATAATTCCATCCAAGTTGTGAAGTTTCAGCTGGTTAGTGTGAGCAGTTAGCATTGCCGATACCTTAATCCAGCCATTACACTGTGTTTTGTTTCAAAAATTCTGTTTTTGAATCGCCTTTCTTATGTATTTACGCAGGACTATTCAGAAGGTCTCAAAACGATTCACGATATACACCTCTTTGGTCAGTTTATGTTGTGATAATGCATAAAGACATAAACCTAACACTCAATTATGACCATGACCTCAGCTTACCAGATCAAAAGTGAGTGTAAGTGCTAAAAGGGCAGAACTCATACGTGCCCTAAAGGTCAAAGACCCTTAGAAAACCCCCTATAATCCTCACAACAGACACTCACAGTGCATCTAACTGCTTTTGTCAAAGGAATTCTTATCTAAGTGCTTTTGTGCGGTGTGTGTTCTGCATGCTGTTTTCTAATGCATGTCATGAATTCCAGGGGTGGGCTACTGTCAGTGCAGGTCAAGAGAGGTCAGCACAAATGGCCTTAATTTAACCACCTAGATTTTAGACAGTTTAAAAAAGGGGTGTCATGCTTTCTGCCTGCTCAAACTGACACCAACAGCTTGGCGGCTGAGCTCGTGTGTCGTGCACAGGACAAAAGAGCCTGATGGTCTACTGTTTACCTATGGCAGTGAGATAAAAAAAGGTTAAAAGCCTGCCCTCCCAGAGGGAGAGCTTTTAAAGCACATAGAAAGTGCTGTCGCCCGATGAGCTAATAGGAGCACAGACAGAGAGAGTGTGTGAGTGACAGTCAGATGTAGTGTGTGTGTGTGTATGTGTGTGTGTGTGTATTGGGGGGCCAGACACTTAATCTAAGTGCTCGGCCATCAAGCATTACCGCAGGTCAGTCACCTGTGTGAATGCAGCTCACTGTGAACACACAAAATGCTAAACTTGAAACAGATCACGTTACTAAAGACAGAGATACAACACAAACCAATTGAAGAAATAATAAAGCCATAAGCGCTGCATTAAGGGGCCTTGTTAACTGTTGTAAAATCAGTCTAATGCACAGGCTTGAGTGGATTTTTGGTAAGGCTGCCTGATTAATCGAAATAAAATCAATATGGATTAGTGCGATTATCAAATCAGAAAGGCTGTGATTTGATTTGATTAAATATGTATATGCTGCGTATTTCAGAGTGAAGTGCAGAACTGTTTATTTACACATGAACTGCTCATGATCTGGTGTTTTCAGTGTCTCAGAGCGGCTCGGTTCACAGTAAATTGCTGGTCCACACAAGCTCCATCTCTACATCTGCTCTGAGTTTGGGTCGCTTATAACATGCATTTGGAAAAGCAACATGCGCCAACCATCTTCCACTTCAACTTATAATGAGAAGCGCTTATAAACCAGCTGTTGTCAACGAAAGAAAGCTTTGAGGTTTCCCTGTGGTTATCCACTAATGTAAACGTTTTTAAGGTTTTGAAAGTAAGGAATTAAAACAGCCATAAATATTAGTTTCATAATTTAATAAGTGTACTATAAAATACAAAATAAATAGTAATTATTATTCATCTTGAATACCTTTATTTTACACTGAATATTACAATAGTAATATTTTTAGTTTTTCAGAAAAAAAAAACGTAGCCATAATTCATACTTTTCAAAAACTGCAGCAGGAGCAATAATAATGATATGGATGTTCAATAAATTAAAGATCTAAGCCTCGAAAGGCTCTGTGTTACAGTGATTCTACCACAGACAATGAGTGTTCTTTAAGTGTTGTAGTTCATTTGTGTATTTTATTTACAGGTTGCAAAGAAGCAAGCTGTTTCATTTTTTATAACAGCTTTTATTTAATTAATCTTATTGGCTTCTCCAATAAGAAGAGTAATAACTATCTTCTATAAAAAAAGTTTAATTGAAAATAAGATAATTCTCGTCAGTAAGGTGGAATGTATTTGTATTTAAATCCAAAAATAAAAATTGAGAAATACAATGTATGAAAACAATTAAGTATGTTTTAGGATCATTAATATTTTTTGCATTGTTTTAATTATTTGCATGTGATTTTGATTTAGGTGTGAAATAACTCAATAATCAGAATAGGCTAATCCATTCTTCTGCCAATATAGTTCATTACCAGTCGGCTGTTTACAGTTGTTGTAATGGTTTGTTGCAACTTGCTACGTTAATATAAGATGTAATATTTATCTCGCAGAACACGCCTATTGGCATGCCTTAATACCAAATTACACGTTATGTTTCTTGTTGTTTGTTTGACAGGCAGTGGCTGCGAGTTAGTGGTGAGATTCTCAGCATTTCTGAACGGCCACTATCCTCCAGCGGATTTGTGTGGAGATATCGCCGTGTCCTACAGCTCAGCTACAGGTATGAGCTCCTCATGAACACTCCCACGCTCTGTTTGTCTGGCTCCATCTCTAAGCTCTGGAACACATTACCCTTTTTCCTCACTTCTTTAAGCCCTTTTACTCATTTCAAGATGTCTGGATGTTTGCCAAAGCAGAAAAAGCAGCAGAAAGGCTGCGTTTGTACTGTCGTTTCTCTTGGATAGTGTCTGTGTTGGCAGAGACTGCTGGAAAACTTCCTGAAAATATCCGGGAGTTTCCCTTTTCTCTGGCTCTCTTTTTCTTTCTGTCCTTCTGAAAATAGTGAGTCTGTTTTACACATTAGATCGCAGGTACATAGGACTGCACAAACACACACAGATGCACACACACTCATGCTTGTCTAGCTTTCTAAAACATTGGCTTCTATTGTTTTTAGATGAAGCTAATAAGAATGACTAAAGACTAACCCAAACCCTAACACTATAAGAAATGTCTGAAAGTTTCCAAAGGGAGGTTTTGTCATGTTTAGCCAACTTATTGGGGACAACTTTGTGTCCAAACTTTAGCAACAAAGTCAATGCACTGTAAAATATACAGTACTATATACAATACTGTTAACACTCTGTGTGTGTTTAATGTTCCCTATTATTAATGTTGTAATCAAACAGACGATGAACACTATTAACAGCAATTATTATATGTTGCAATTAAACTTATAGCAATCTTTGGTAGTTGTGTATGTTGTTTCAGGGTTGGCATCATCTGAGGTCCTCTGAGGGGTTGGCATCAACTCTTCTCAGTTGTTCTGGATCAAGCTTGTGTAAATCCTAGTTACAAAAACAAATAAACAAATAGAGACATAATTAGCATAGCTGCTGTTCCAACCAAGCAAAACGTATTTGTTTAACCCAAGCTAAAGAATAATAATG